GGGGGAGAGAGAGAGGTGGGGAGAAAGAGAGAGAGACAGACAGACAGCAGTTGGTTGTCTCCCTCAGGTTGGGGAACAAACCTGAAATCCAGGTATGTGCCCTTGAGCAGGAATGGAACCCGTGCCCTTCAATGCACAGGCCAGTGCTCTACCACTGAGCCATGCCGGCCAGGGCTATAAAATAGTCCTCTTTTGACTTTTTAACTATAAAAAAATATAAAAACCATTCTTGGCTTACAAGCTGTAAAAAAAAAAAAAAAGCGCTTAGTTTGCTGACCAATGCTCTATATCAACTACCTTACTTCCCCTATTCTAACAGAGCATTCTTCACAGGCCTGCCTGCTTGGCCTCCTCCCATCACCTGTCATGATCATGTTTCCTGTATCTGTGGGTCTCATACTTTAGGGTTCATGAAAATTACCCCCAAGAATATGCATTTTAAATAAAATTCCCAGGTGATTCTGATTCTAATAAAATAATCTTATCCATTTTAAGGTACAGGTAAATTTCTACACTTTTCAAGAAAACTCACCTTGGTTATTGAACACAACAACCCCTCTTGATTTATATCATATCCTGTGTTGCCTCTCATCATGTATATAAGTTGTGTACAAATGTAATATGAGTATAAGGTACAAAGTATAAATATGCACGGGACTGGACTAGATCATAAGCCATCTGAGTACACTCTCCAAAAGCTCCGTTTTGTATTCCCTACTGTAGCTTCCTTGGAATAGAGGCTGATAAAATGCTTTGAATTTGAATGCTACTGGGAGAATGACTCATTCATGGATATGTTTTTTTCGTACTATCATCTTGGTTCTGATTGTCATGCCATGGAAGACAGAAATGAACCTGAATATAAAAAAATGCTATGTGGTAATTAAAATTAAAAGCAGCCCAGCTGTTGTGGCTCAGTGGTTGAGCATCGACCTATGATTCAGGAGATCGAGCTATGATTCCTGATCAGGGCACATGCCCGGGTTGTGGGCTCAATCCCCAGTGGGGGGTGTGCAGGACACAAAGATGGCCAAGAGACATATGAAAAAATGCTCAATGTTGCTAATCATCAGAGAGTTGCAAATTAAAACTACAATGAGGTATCACTTCACCCGTGAGAATGGCTGCCATCAACAAATCAACAAATGACAAGTGCTGGTGAGGGTGTGGAGAAAGGGGAACCCTGGTACACTGCTAGTGGGAATGCAGACTGGTGCAGCCACTATTGAAAACAGTATAGAGGTTACTCAAAAAACTAAAAATAAAACTGCCTTTTGACCCAGTGATCCCACTTCTAGAAATATATACTAAGAATCCTGAAACACTAATCAGAAAGAATATATGCACCCCTATGTTCGTAGCAGTGCAGTTTACAATAGCTAGGATCTGGAAACAGCCCAAGTGCCCATCAGTAGATGAGTGGATAAAAAGCTGTGGGACATTTACACCATGGAATACTATGCAGCTGTAAAGAAGAAGGATCTCATGCCCTTTGGGACAGTATAGATGGACCTGGAGAAGATTATGGTAAGTGAAATAAACCAGGCAGAGAAAGACAAACATCACATGATCTCACTTATATGTGGAATCTAAAGAACATAATAAACTGATGAACAAAATAACTTCAGTGACACAGAAGCATGGAACAGACTGATGAATCTCAAAGAGAAGGTGGTGGTGGGGGGACAGATTAACCAAAGAATTTATATGCATATATGCATAACCCATGGACACAGACAATAATGTGGTGAAGGCCTGGGGTGTGGAGTGGGTGAGGGTGGAAGGGGTCAATGGGGAAAAAGGGGGACATCTGTAATTATTTTAAACAATAAAGATAAATTTAAAAAAATTAAAAGCAGAGTATAGAACAGTACATCTAAGAAATCAATTCTACTAAACGTACACATATAATCTGTATCAAAAACGTCATATCCCAGAACTCTAAAATAATAGCTATCATTAGCTGAACTCTGACAGTGAGGCAGGCACTAGTTAAATGCTTATTTAATCATTTGAGGAAGGTACTACTATCATTACCCACATTTTACTGTGACACAGAGATTAAAAGAACTTGCCTGCCTAGTGGGATTGCTAGTAAACTTGTTTCCTTCTTGCATGTTCTATTTATCCCAGCCATCTTTTGGCAATAACCACTAATACTTTTACAATTTAAGAAAGCTTTTTTTTAAAAAAAATTAACTTTAGTCTTCAGGTCATATTCAGGAAAGATCTGGCTTTTTGAGGGCGCCTTTAAACACATTCAATACCATCACTATAGGAATTTTTGTGACGTTTTAGTTCTTAGTCAACAAATATTGAATAAATAAGGCAATTTGTTCCAGGATCTATCCAGTGAGTTAAAAAGCTAAATTTTGCAGTCCACATCATTTACTTTATTTTACCTTACTAAAGACCATATAGTATTTTTGTCTGCTCTCCCAGCCATGAGAATTTCCTTAAAAAACAAAAATTCTAAAGAAAAAAATCATTCTCATGATTAATCACTGTTATGTAAATATTAACCCAAACTCAGTTCAGAAAGTATTTTAATTTTTAAGTAAATCTCATTCCTCATTCTCTCACTACTTTCCACCTTCCTGTTTTATGTTATTTTAAACTCCCTAATTTCCTCCCTCAATTGTTCCCTCCCCAAGAATGCTCTCCATTGCTCTTCATGTCACTGAATCCTTACCTAACAATGTTTTGCTCATAATAAGCACTCAACCACTTGAGTAAGCACTGACTAAATACTCACCAAGTTTTTCTTTTTGGAATGACCACTTCTTCAATCCCTTAATGTGAAAAAAAAAAAAGCAAAGTGAATCAATTTCCCAGTACTAGTACTACAAAGAAATACAATGTATTAAAATAAAAATGGAATTATTTCAATGTATTTCTATATACCTGTTACATCAGCTCCTTCAACCTTTGGGAGGGCTGCACTTCCAGAATAAAATCTGCAAAAAATAAAAGCCCTTAAGTTAATACTCATTAATGGAGTTCTCACCTCACCTCCACCTATATGCATTTTGAGCCCAAATTTTCCAAATATCATGGATCAAAATGATGGGATAACTCATGCCAATGTACACTGAGAAGACATGGCCTCAACACCAAGTTCAAAACCATTACAAAATAGATATATAATACGGACACAATATGGTCAAATGTTTTAAATCAGGTAACCTCATTAAATAAAATCAGGGAAAAAAGGAAAATTTGAATAGTGCCTGAACAAATGAATAGCTGATTTGAAATATACGGGACTTTCACCTTTGGAAATCTAAAACACTAAAATTAAGAGGGACAAGTTAATGAGCTAATTAACTTGTCTGAATAATGCCNGCTGATTTGAAATATACGGGACTTTCACCTTTGGAAATCTAAAACACTAAAATTAAGAGGGCAAGTTAATGAGCTAATTAACTTGTTTGAATAATGCGCTAAGTATATGGATAATGCCCTAATAATAATGAACGTCTATTCACTTAAAGCACATGGCAAATTATGAAGTTATTTTCATAATTTCAATCCACTTCAACAATTAGGAAAGTACCAAATATGTATGTCCTAATTTAAAGTTGGAACTGCTGATATTTTTTTATCCAAAATGTAGAATCCTTAACCCATGACTAGGCTTTAAAATTTTCTGATCACACTAAAAAACAGTCAGTATACCACACAGATAATGTGCACTATTATCTCGTGTACTGCCTTCCTAAATGGCATTGGTACCATTCAGAAAATTGTCAAGATGTGATTAAAAAATTACTTCCTCTACTGGTATCTGGTCTCAGACATCTTTGGTTGTTGTTGCTGTTAATCCTACCCCGAGAGTATTTTTTCCATTGAGAGAGAAACGTCCAAGTGAGACACATCCTGCACATGGCCGGGGATTGAACCACCAACCCAAGTACATGCCCTTGACCGGGAGCAGGCTTAGACTCTAACCACTGAACCCACCAGCCAGGGTTCAGACATCTTTTTAAAACAATACCTCTCTGCCTGGGATCAACTCCTTCAAATCATGCCTTTTCTTACTGACATGAGGACACACTGATCACTCTTATCTTTGACAAGGAGAAAATTCTGGCATGTCCTGAAGTACACTACAGTTCGGAGTGTGAAAGACACAGAAAAGGGTGGCTCTCATAAACTAACCTTTAGTTTGGAAAAATCTTCAGAGTTCTCCCCCTTCCTACTGGTTGAATGAAAATGAGAGCAAACGATGTTTTTAAAAAAAATTTGGGATGGAGTGGCTAACAGCCGAACTAACTAGAATGCTGGCTCCACGAGAGAAGGATCCTAGTCTGGTCTACAGTTGTATCTCCTGGGTAGGTTGGCCGACCAACAAATATTTTCCTAATAAATGCGTTCTCATCTCTTTTTCGCCGAAGCGCGCGGCTACGAGAGGGCGCATGCGCTTTCCACTGCATCGTGCCCCGCTCCATAGCTCTCGGGAAAAAGGGGATACACAGGACTAGGTTGATACCTGGGTCTTCCTCGTGGGTTCCTCAAGCCTCTCTTACCTGAAATTAGGGGCCGGTTCACATGGACCTGCCCGCCGACCTGTCAGCGGCAGGCAAAGCCTGCAGCGGACCCTCAGCCAGCGAGCCGAGGCCACCGCCATCTTTAGCTTCTTCGCATTGCATGTTGGGAAAGCACGCCTTCCGCTCTCTGCAGCACCAAAGGATGGCGGGGAAGGTGGACCGGAATAGCTCGGCTATTGGCTGAGAAGGACGAGACGAAAGCAATCGTGAAATAGGTGACTAGCCTATGGTTTGAAAGACTTTGTTCGGAAATTAAGTGCTCAATGCGCCTCAATTACATCGAAGAGGTTTTCTAAAAGGACCACTTTAATGCCATATATCTTCGATTGTTTTCAAAGTAAGAGGACTAGTTTTGAGTAAATTACATTGCTTTTCCCCACCCCCAGAGCATATATGATCTCGTCCATGTAAATCTGATCCCAGCGAGCGTTTCTCCTGCGCAAGCGCAGTTTAAATCACATGGCGGGCTGCGGGATTGTGGCGGTGTTAGAAATTTACTGCTGGTGATTGAAACTTCTCTCTGGGTGTCAGAAGTCAAAACGGACCTGGAGGATGTTGGGCTCAAAGAACATGCCCTGGCGGCGGCTTCAGGGCATCTCCTTCGGGATGTATTCGGCCGAAGAGCTCAAGTAAGTAGTTGGTGGGAAGCGTGCGGAGCTTGTCTCTTGAGGTGGTCGCCTTTATAAACTACTATTCCCGAAAGGTCTTGCGCCCAGTTTGTCCTCCGAGTCCTTGGTTGTCGGGCGCGTGGCCTGCCGGGACCTGTAGTTCCGGAAGCGTCTTGGGCTGGCGTGCACCGCCTAGAACCCGGTGGGGCTGCGAAAGAGTCTGTGCTGGAGAGGAGGGTATTGCCAGATTGCAGCGTTAGCGTTTGCCAGTCGCCGCGTTAATTAACCAGCGTTTTTGAAGTTACCGTAATGTCTCTGAAGCAGTTTAAGCGCAGAATTAGTCTCTTGTTTATAAAATGATTATCCTTCACGACTTATTTCAGGCTACAAGGAGAATTTCTAGGACGCCCTTTATTCCCAGGACCTTACTGCCTTAAGGTTCTTCTCTTTCTGTGACAAGTACTTCTTCCTTACCCATGAGTTAATTAATCCACAGTTTTTGTCAGGCAGTGTGCTAGGCGTTAGTGATGGTAGGTGACTCTCCTTTTCCCCAACAAAAGAAGAACTTTGTTCCAAGCACTGTGTTTTATATATGTTATTTTCTGATCGTCATAATGAAGCTATTGCATGTGATGAATTTTTAGGTGAAAAGAAAAAGCTAAGTAGTGAGTTCAGGCTTGTGGTAAGAGACCACACACACAACATGGAGTTATGTTTCCAAAGAATTTTTAGTGATGTAGAAACACTCATTTAAGGCTAAACGAAAAGGGACATATGCAATGCCAGAAATACCAAATGATCCCAGTTAACGTGTTATGTTTTTTAAATGTACCTATAAAAGAATGTCTACAGATGTTCTCTAGGTTGTGAGATTTGGATGATTTCTTTGTCCGTGTCTTTATTTTTTAAATCAGAAAAAAAAATGTTAAAAAGCAAACTTCGCATGAATGTAATTTTGTTAAAAGTAGTGCTGAGCCGCTGTAGTGAGCACAGCACACAGATTCTGCCCTCTGGAGCTGCCAGAGTGTCTGAGGAAGCACATTAAATCATCACTTGACTGCGAAGAGGACATGTCCAAAAAGTCAAATAACCTGTTTTCCCTTGGTCTTTTTTATCTCCTTAGGAAACTAAGTGTTAAATCCATTACAAACCCTCGGTACCTGGACAGCCTGGGGAACCCAGCGGTCAATGGCCTGTACGATTTAGCTCTAGGCCCTGCAGATTCCAAAGAGGTGTGCTCCACCTGCGTGCAGGACTTCAACAACTGCTCTGGCCACCTGGGCCACATTGAACTGCCGCTCACGGTGTACAATCCTCTCCTCTTCGACGTACGTTCTGCCCCAGGCCACCCTGGATGCATGGGTCTCAGGGCTGCTGGTGGGATTTGTGAGGCCACCCTTTTCCCCACAGGAGGGGCCTGAGGAGGTTAGCGCTGGACACTTTGAGTTAAAGTGCTCTTTAAGCCTTGAGATTTTAAACCTTGAGGAGCCAAATCCCATACATTCAACTTGGCCTCTAGCCCTAACTAAATGAATCTGATTCTAATCGAGAAGAGCTGCAGCTTGGTTCTGTTCACAGGAGTGGAAGAGAGCATTCATCCATCCCCCTGCACCCTTTGTTTCAGGAGCTTGACACCCTTCAGAAATCCTGGCAGAGTCACTCTGGCAATAGAGGGACCCTTGGAGTTCCCCAAGTCTCCCTGGAGGCTCTTGCTTGGTGTCAGAAAGAGCAAACCCCCAGAGGACACTAAGGATGAAGCTCCTGTCTAAAGTCCTACTTGTGTGTTTTCAGCGCTTCATATTAGTTAACCTAGCCCCAAGATTTGTTTTAAGCTGTACAGATGGCATACATGGGCATGATTTTTGTTTGTTAATCTTATCAAGTAAAGAGAATTGTCTTTGTTAAATACAAAATATCTGACTAAGTTTAGTATTCAGTACTTAGTTAAAATAAAGGTAGTTCCCTACCTCAGACCCAAAGTAAATTTCAAATTTTAAAGGATTAAAATGAAATCATAGAGAAAATATGGTAGAATAGTTAGTTATCTGGTTCTTAGGGTCACGAAGGCCTTTTTAGGTATACAGAGGAAGTGGAATTCTTATGGGAATAAACTGACCCCATAAAAACAAAAATTGAAGTGCCTTGAAAATCACCCTGACTGCTACATCTCTTTCTAATATCCTGCTGCTTTTTATTCCTTCCCTTCAGAAACTCTACCTGTTGCTCCGGGGCTCCTGTTTAAACTGCCACATGCTGACTTGCCCCCGGGCTGTGGTCCACCTCCTAGTCTGCCAGCTGAGAGTTCTGGAAGTCGGAGCCCTTCAAGCAGTGTACGAGCTGGAGAGAATTCTGAACAGGGTAGGTGAGTGGTGGCTGTCACGAAAATCAGGCAGGCCATGGTGGTGGGAATAAGAGCTGTTTGTGTGTTGTCCCTAAGAATAGTCACCAGAGTGTTTGGTCTTTATATCTTGTGACTGGATACCAATCGCTAGATGTGAAAATGTGAAGTCATAGAAGAATTGGAGAAACGTTAATGAAAACAACATAGAAATACCATTTGCCCATTGGGGAGCTTTTTCTTTTCCTGGACCCAGGATTCAATCAAGGTTCATGCATTCCTTTGGACTGTTACATGTCTTTGGTCTCTTAATGTAGGATGTTTTAATACAGAAAATTCTTTTCTATGCTATTGACCTTTTTTGAAGGCATTAATACTTTGTAGGATTTTCCACATCCTGGATTTGTCTGATTTTTCCCCCCTCATGTTTACATTTTGGTAAGAATTCAACCTGCATGATACAGGATATTTTGTATTACATCATTATAGGAGGCACATGCTGTCACATTGTACTATTGGTAATGCTTAGTTTGATTATTTGGATAAGATACTGATCACCAGATCTCTCTATTGTGGAGCTGTTTTTTTTCTTTGTTTATAATTGCTTTAGGTTTTCTGGTACTATTATAAATACCTTATTTAAAATTCATTTTCTGTTTGTAGATAAAAATGTAACTAACTTTTGTACATTGGTTTTTGTATGAAACAACCTGGCAAAAGCATTTCAGTTCTGATACTTTATCTGTACATTCTTTTAGATTTTCAACACCATCATCACTTGTGAATAACAAGTTTTATTTTTTTCCAGTCTTTACATGTCTTGTTTCTTTTTCTTCCCTTATTTTGGTTGCTAGGATCTACATTACTGTGTTGAAGGGGTAGCGTGCATCCTTGTCTTGTTTCTTCTCACAAAGGAAAACCTTTGGCCTTTCCCCTTCCCCTTCCCTTGCCTGAATAATTCAGTCTTAAAGCCTTTAAGTGGGCAGAGCAGGCAGGACCCCACACGGAGGTGTGGCCTGGTATGGGTTGTCTGAGGCCAAGCAAGACGAGAAAAGCATTCAAGGGGAGGGAATCTCTGCACCTGTGGGCAGCCCAACCTAGAACGTCAGAGTTCAAATAGAGCGAGGAGAGTGTTCATTTGGGGTAAAGGCTCAGCTTGGGATGTGGGCATCCAAGTCAGGTAAAAGGGTGCCCGTGCTAGATGGCCCAGTGTGGGGTATAAGAGCCCAGATGGAGTGAGGAGGGGTTTCATAAGGAGAGCGGCCTGGAGTTGGGTGAGAGGAGGTCATGCATGGGAGTGGGTGCTGCAGACAGTTTCTCTTCAGTGGGTGTTCTCACAGCTGGCTAAGGTCTAGTTGTCTTTGGCTCGCCAAGTTAAAGAGCAAAAGAATGAGTGGACACAGGAGCCACCCTGGCCTAGCGGTCCCATGTCCCAAATAGGAATCAGTATCTTTTGTGACAGTTCTGTGGCCCCAGCTTCCAGAGACCCTCAAGGACATTCCTAGTTAGCACCAGGGAAGCTCAGAGCTGTGGTTTCCCACTAGGTGTTTGTAGTTCATTCATAGTCTTCCTAGTTCAGATACAACTTAAGCAGTAGAGGTCATTTTTGCCATCAGCAGTGCTGCCTAATAGCACAGTTGACATTTCTACTTTTATCAAGTTTCCAGGGAACAAAATAAAAAGTTAACCCAAAACCAAACTGGTTCAAAAGAGACATTGAGAGAGGGGGAGAGATTTTCTTAAACCTTTACTCAGAATAACTTATATTTTTCTAGGAATGTGTCCATTTCATTTAAAGTTTCAAAATTATTGGCGTAAGGTTATTTGTGATGCCTACCTTAAATATTTTTTTGTAAAATATACCCACAGAAATGCATTAATCATACATATAAGCTAGCAAATAGTTAAAAGTAACCATCCCCCATATGCTCACCTTCAGTGTCAAGCTATTGTCCCTGTTTCTGGAAACTTCTCTTTCCCCTGTCCTTAAGTGCTTATTTTTGACAGTTTGTCACTGTCTTAAGAAATTCTTTGTAGGAATAATTTGAGGTCTAGGGTGCTGCTGCCTTCCTCCAAAGAGGCTTCTTCTTGCTTCTTCCATGTGCTCAATGACCTGGGACCATTGTAGTCAGGTTCAAAGCTGATGGCTCACAGGTCTACCGGGTGATTAGAATCCAGGTGGTTCTGTTCGATGACCGGTTTAGTTCCCAAGGGCATAGCCCTTGGGCTCCCAGCTTCCTGTGTTTGTGGGGTAGGATATGGGAGGGAAGGTATGCTGTTAGATTCCTGTCCTTGCACTAACTCTAGGCTTTGATTTCTGTCCCATTCATTGTTTGAGGCCTCCAAAATGAAAAAGTTCAAAATTCCTGAATTGGAAAATATGCCCAAGGCTAGTGCTTCCATGTCCCACAGCTCCAGGGAGCATCATGGAAGTCTGTCGGGATCTTCCCCAGTGAGACACACCTGCACTGAGGTTACCCTGGAGCCGTGCAGTGCAGCAGCCCTGCATCAGAGCACATGGGCCCTGCACTCCTTGACCTAGACTCCTGTTTTCCCTTCATTTAGGTCCAGATATTCCTCACTATTCTGTTCACTCTTCAGCACTTTCACATTAGAAAACATTTTACCTATCTTGGTTCTTTTCAGTTTGAGGTTTGGTATGGATAATCTGGCCTACCCTATTGGAAGCAGGTATTCTCATTTGATTTTTTTTGAACAGCCTCACTGTTTTGAGAATGCAGCACAGCAGCCATGAAGTTTCTTTCTCTGCCCGTAAACTAAACTCCCCTGCTCTTGGAGAGGCTGGCGCCATGGTGCTAATCATACACTTGCTTTACTTTGATAATATGGTTTTTCTCTTTGATTTTCAGTTTCTGGAAGAAAATGCTGATCCTACTGCCTTTGAAATCCAGGAAGAATTAGAACAGTATACACGAGAAATTGTACAGAACAATCTCCTGGGATCCCAAGGCTCGCACGTATGTTATCCTGTCTTCTCAGAACACTCAGTTTTTAGCACTGTCACTCATGTACAGTTTCGGTTTCCTGTACTTGACCTGGGTTTGAATCCTAGCTCTGTCCCTGAGCCATTGTGTCCTCATATTTGATGCCTGCCTGTAGGACCGATGAGAAGAAGAGATGAAATTAGGTAGTTTAGGCATAGCATCCAGCAAGGTTCTGGCTTGCAGTCTCACTTTGAGAATGAGGTCCATGTTCTTTCCTTCTTTCTCTCTGTAACACCGTAAACTACTGGTCCCTCTCTCCTCCCTGTTCCCCCATTGCACCTATGTAAGTATTAAATTGCTCAATGAATGAATGATGTCAGTAATCAGCCTCCAGGACTAACTTGAAATCTGGTTCACCTCACACCCAGTTTCACAGCAGAGATTCCGACTGAAGTGGGCTGCGATAGGGCCCAAGTGGGTCTCATTTGCAGCTGGGCTCAGAACCACTCATGTAGCTTAACAGTGGGTGTACTTTTCTCAGAACCCTCAGGTCCATCCCAGGGAGGCTGCAGGGAGGCTACACCAGCTGCCTCCAGAGAGGTTTATTTTAAATTAAAGTGAGGGAAAAGAGCATTTATTAAGTACTTTCTTCCAAGCGCCCGCTGCATTCATGATCTCTTTATCTTAGTAACAGCGTAGTGAGGCGGTTACTACTCTTCCTTGCATCTTATGAATGAGGAAACTTAAGGAAAGAAATCACTCAGTAATTTGCAGAGCTTGGCTGCATTAGGATTCTGTGGAAATTTTTGTTTAAGGAGGTGGCTTCCTCTGGTTTCTCAGCAAAGGTGAAAATCACAGAGTGAATATATACTGGGTTCTCTTCAAATGGCACTCTGAGGTTCTTTGCCCTTTGTAACAGGTGAAAAATGTCTGTGAGAGCAAGAGCAAACTTGTTGCTCACTTCTGGAGGACACACATGACTGCTAAGCGATGTCCCCACTGCAAGTAAGTATCAGGACTCCACCCTGTCCCTGTCCTCACAGCTATTAATAAATGTCTTGTTGGGTTGGGTTTTTTCTCTCCTCAGTTACAACTGTCCTCTTGTCTAGGACGGGGCGGTCAGTTGTCCGAAAGGAGCACAACAGCAAACTGACCATCACGTATCCAGCTGTGATGCACAAGAAAGCTGACCAGAAGGACACAGAGCCGCTGGGTAAGCAGCCAGGCCCCGGGAGGCCCTCAGCCATGTTTCTCAGGCGTGGCCATTGGATGCATCCCAGACCTTGGGAACAGCGGGCCCTCTGTGCCACGTTCCTCAGCTGCGTGTCTGGCGAGCCAGTGGCGAGGGGATCCTGGCGAGTGCCCAGCCCTGGCCTCTCACAGCTGACAGGCTGGGCTGCTTTATGAGGGGGCGCCCTGCGCGCCGAGCAAGGCGCCTCTTGCTTCAGGTCGTCATTTTCTGAAAGATTTCTGAGGAAGAAGTTAACATACTAGGTAAATATTTAGAACCACTTTGTTGTCAAACAAGCGTGGGTTTGTTTTGAAGTAAAGTGTAAGTGAATTTTACTTATTTTNTTGGGAACAGCGGGCCCTCTGTGCCACGTTCCTCAGCTGCGTGTCTGGCGAGCCAGTGGCGAGGGGATCCTGGCGAGTGCCCAGCCCTGGCCTCTCACAGCTGACAGGCTGGGCTGCTTTATGAGGGGGCGCCCTGCGCGCCGAGCAAGGCGCCTCTTGCTTCAGGTCGTCATTTTCTGAAAGATTTCTGAGGAAGAAGTTAACATACTAGGTAAATATTTAGAACCACTTTGTTGTCAAACAAGCGTGGGTTTGTTTTGAAGTAAAGTGTAAGTGAATTTTATTTATTTTTTAATCCTTACCTGAGGATATCTTTTCCACTGATTTTTAGAGAGAGTGGAAGGGGGAGGAGGTGAGAGAGAGAGAGAAACAGAAATATTGATGTGAGAGAGACACATCAATTGGTTGCTTCCTGCATGTGCCCCAACTGGGGTCAACCCACATGTCCACCTATAAGAGTTTGGTTAAATCATTTAGGAAAACATCCTCTGAGCATATTTTCATGCAGCCTTAAAAATGATGATCAGGCAACATGTAGAAATGCTCACAAGAGGACAGTAGTGAGCAAAGTAGACAAAGTAAACCCCCAGTTAGCATTTCAGTGACCTAACACACTGTTAGAACCAAGTGCTGGAGAAGATGATGTAACTGGTGATAGTGATAGGATGGGATGAGATGGGATGTAGGCGATTTTTTGTTGTTGTTGCTCTCTTGATTTTATATGTAGTTACATTGTTTTCATGACTTTAGAAATTAGATTAAGGGGGAACATATTCAGAGCTGAGACTATCCTGTCCTAGAGTTTGATTTTTGTGATCAAATTGCAGGTTTGGCAGGGTGGGGAGAAAGAATTTATAAATCCCACTACAGAAGGAGTGCCTGTAATTTACTTATGCTTTGATTCCCCTTCTGTGCTCCAGGAATTGAGGAAGCTCAGCTGGGAAAACGAGGGTACCTGACACCCACCGGTGCACGAGAACACCTTAGCGCCCTTTGGAAGAATGAAGGTGCAGTACCAACCTAAAGAAATAACCCTGTATCTCCTCCTGGCTTTAATTCCCTGGGCTCATTTACCCTGCCTATTATTATTATTTTTTATCCTCACCTGAGGATATTTTTTCCATTGCTTTTCAGAGAGAGTGGAAGGGAGAGAGATAGAGAAAAACTTCAATGTGAGAGAGACACATTGATTGGTTGCCTCCCGCACACCCCCAACCAGGGCCAGTGATCGAGCCGGCAACCGAGGTACACATGCCCTTGGCCGGAATCAAACCTGGGACCCTTCAGTCCGAGGGCCAACACTCTAACCATGAGCCAAACTGGGTAGGGCTACTTTTGTTTTTTAAAGTTGTGGTTCTTGTAGAGCTCTCCTGAAATCAATTCATAGATCTGGGGCCAGGCTTCAGGGTGCATTGTCATTGATGCATTATATAGTGAGGTTTCTATGGAAATTCCTTCTGTGAATCAAAAAATGAACTCAAATATATAGTTTTAGTTAAGATTTTTATATCTTAATTCCCTACAAAACGGGAAATCCTCATTCTTTTTTGAGTGTATAACAAAACCTATGCTAAGGTCACCAGAATAATAGCTTTGAATCCACAGACGATCCCTCTTGGTAGCATCATTGTGAAGGGTTTTTGTTTTGTTTTTAAGAAGGCTGTTTTTGGTTTGATTTTTTTTTTTTTTCCGTATTTCAACTACATGTTCTATAAATACCACAGTAATTGTGTGCATGTGTAAGTCTGAAACAAGTAACCGTTTTTATTTCCCATCCCTGCCCTTTTCTGCCCTTGGGCTAAGCACTGTTTTCCCTGTAGTGCCCATCCTTACACCATCATCTCATCTGCATGCAGGCTTTCAACACCTAGAGGCTATTTTTTGCTTGTTTTTATAAAGAAAAATGTGATCTTACTCTACATGTTGTCCTATGTTCCGGTGGGGTTTTTTTCTTTCACTTAGTAAAATGTTTTATTCATCCATGTTCTAACCTAGATTTAAATGATCTTTGTGGTTTATTTCAAACACAGGATTCTTTCTGAATTTCCTTTTTTCGGGACTGGAAGATGTTGGTATGGAGTCTAGATTCAATCCCACTCTGTTCTTCCTGGATTTCTTGGTGGTGCCACCCTCAAGGTAATGCCCTTTAATTAATTTTATTTCACCTGAAAAGGGCGTACTGTGTAACTGAATGATGACCTCTGAGAAGGGATGGAAAGATGAAAGGCACTGAGAACTAGAGCAGCATTTCCACTTCCGGGTGGCAGGTGGTGGGAGTATTTCCCTCCCATTTGTCCTGAATGCGGTAGGGATGTTGGTTGTCTTTTGAGTGTGGTGGGGTTTGAGTCACTTATAGTAGGGTGGGGATGGATGAGAGGATGAAGAACATGACTCTTCCCCCAAACTAAACATTCACTGATTCCATGTGTCCCCCTGCAGGTATCGCCCTGTCAATCGCCTGGGGGACCAGATGTTTACCAATGGCCAGACGGTGAACTTGCAGGCTGTCATGAAGGACGTGGTTCTGATCCGAAAGCTTCTGGCATTGATGGCCCAAGAACAGGAGCTGCCATGGGAGGTGGCAGCACCTGCCACAGATGAGGTCAGTACTCTCTTGGAGCTGATGTCATAAATGCACACGCTTAGTTATAACTGTCTGCAGTGAGCACAGAATGCTGTGGGTGCTGGGAGGTGCTAGTTAGGGATTATGTAGAGCTGTTTGTTGGCTGTCCGTTGGGGGAAACACAGGTAATGTTAGAGGAAAGCATGGTCTGAGCACAGAAAGGTCTGGGTTCACCCCAATCACCTTGGCTGAGTTGCTTTAATTTAAAAAAAAATTTTTTTTTTAAATGTATCTTTATTGATTTCAGAGAGAGGAAGGGAAAGGGGAAGGAGAGAGAAAGAGAAGAGAGGGGGGGGGAGAGAAATATCAATTTTGTTGTTCCACTTATTTATGCATTC